TGACATCAGCCCCAACACTGCTCTGTTTCTATGCAGCAGCAAAAAATTGTCTGCTGAAGAGGTTAATAATAGGTTTATTACTGCTAAACAATCTGGAGTGTATTTCTGCACTTGAGGTAGTAGCACACAAGTTCACTGTCCTCCTGGATTTCAGAGTAATTTCAGCTTTCTCTCCTCTGCCTCCATTGTGCTTTCCATGTGGATATATGCTGTTGTGGTATCAACTTCATGATGGAGATTGCCTGCATCAGTTACAATCTTTTAGGGACATCTATCAATCATCATATTTCCAATCCATTCGGCTTGTTGAATGTTCATAAATATTCATTTTCCTCAGGTTATGTGTTTTTTGGAAGTGCTAAACTCAGTCAATCACTATACACTGCATAAACATCTGTTAATGGCTGGTTTTTCCCTGATGGGCAACTGCATATTTCAAAAGGAGAAATAATGGCAAAACTAAAGCACAGTTCAGTTACGATTTTTGAAGTCTTGAAACTTCTGACATTTGCCAAACCTGCTTTAATTTGTTTCCAGTTATTAATAAGCTCTCAGGATTCTGTGTAAATGCCTAAGGAAGGCCAACTCAATTAGGTGCTCTTAATAGCAGAAATGCCTAAGAATTGTTGTTGTGCTTAGCCCAGTATCTCACCTGTACCCTTCTGAACTTCCTGCTTTCTGACCTAGATTCAACTCTGCCTTGAAAACTGTCTGCAGCTGATTACCTACCACTTCACAACAGACACGGGAGCTACTTTGCCATCTTTTCAATGAATTTTCCTTTTCCTGCTCTCTTGCATTACTATATTGTACCTGCTTTGATTATCACTTCTTCCTGATGAGCCATGTCTGGTGCCTTTTAGTTGTTTCTTTGAAACCTGGTGTTTCCCAAATCAACTCAAAATGTTTCCTTGGTTTCAGCTGTCTTGTCAGAGCCTTTTTTATATGAGTAGCAGATAAAAGTGATGTTATTCAATCAATGTGTTCCGTCAAATTTAAGCTTACTTGTCTGGCTTACATCCTCCGCAGATAAAAGTGATGTTATTCAATCAATGTGTTCTGTCAAATTTAAACTAAGCTTACTTGTCTGGCTTACATCCTCTCCTTTGATATCTTTTGGTTTTTGCTATTTTTCATAATGATTTTGCGAAGAGTTCTCAGGTGCCTTTATGGAGGACACTTCATAAGTGACCATTTATTTGACAAGTGATTTTTATGTGGACTAAGTTCTTAATCATGTCCTATGAGAAATGAAGAGCAGAGTTTTGGAGTAAGAATTTTAATGGCTGCTTCTTCTTGAGCACCTCACTTCCAAAGGGACATTGAGATGCTGGAGCATGTCCAAAGGAGGGCAATGAAACTGGTGAAGGGTCTGGAAAATGTGTCCTGTGTGGAGTGGCTGAGAGAACAGGGCTTGTTTCATCTGCAGAAGAGGACACTCAGGGGGACCTCACTGATTTCTACAACTACATCAGAGGAGGTTTTAGTGAGGTGGGTGTCAGTCTCTTCTGCCATGTCTCAAGTGAAAGGACAAAAGGAAATGGTCTTAAATTAGATGGTGCCAGGATTAGATATTAGAAACAAAATTCTCTTTGAGTGAGTAGTCAGGCATCAGAATAAGTTGACCAGGGAGGTAGTAGAGTCTGGAATTAATCAAGAGACATCTAGATGTGGAACCTTGGATGTTATTTAAGGATGATTATGGTGCTGCTGGGTTGGTGCTTGGAATGGCTTCCCTTGAAGGTCTCCTCTAACCTTGATGACTCTGTGATTCTGTGATTCTACTGCCTCAGTGATCTTGTCAAGTAACTTCCTTTAGCTCTGTTCATCCTATTATATGATTATGTGTAACTGAAGGTTCAGTAGGGACAGTGACGATCCTGTTGCAGAGATATTCCCAAGCAGTGTGGTGAAGGGTACCTTCATTGCATTTTTTAAATATTCAAGAAGCAGTCCTCCTCAAATCCCTATTTAAAATCAAAATATATCACTCATGGCTTTTTAAGATCATTTGCTGTGCTACTACTGTTCATTATTTAAGTGCCGTGCAAGGTACAAATAAACATAAATGTTGTGAAAGTATTTTTTTTCCACATTATGCCTCAGCTTCCCTACTGTGTGAGCAATGATTACTTTCAGGTTAGTCAAAAACATATGAAACTCTGTACATCTTTGAAAACAGAGTCTGTCCTGGCTTGTAGCCTTGATAGGTTGTAGAAAATCCTCCAAGACTTCTGAAATTGACTCCAGTAAGCTCTAGAAAAAAAGGAGCAGCAATGAAAGACTCAATGCTTATATGTCTTTTTTGTTCTTTTATTAACAAGAGCCCCAGATTAGTATGCCTTGCAAGTCGTAGTGCTTCACTCTTTGGAATGGTTTCAATCAGACTACCATGTGTCAGGAAAGCCGATTCTGCCCCTGCATAAGCTGTTGTTTTACCTGTAACATGTTTTCCATTATTCCCTTTGCCCAAATCAAATTATGTACCCATGAAATCTAATTGAAAGTCAAACTCCAGTGCATTTGCTCTAAGGAGATCTGCTGAACTGAGTGGATCAAGTCCTGAGCATTAGCAGAGATGGGTGACTGAACTGGGCTCATGAGGAAATTGCAAATGAATTTGCAAGCAAAGGAGGCCACCTTGTCACTGCTTTCACTGTTGAAATGCATTTTTCAAATGTTCTGGAGGAATTTTCTTTTTTTTTTTTTCACCCTCTAACCTTCCTAGTATGTGTGAAAATACAGCCCAGGTCAAAATTAAAAGTCAGTCAAAAAGTTTTGAAAAGTTGACTCCTCCAACCTCCCACAGCTGATTTCAGTTGTCCTGCTGAACAATTCAGTTCTGAACTAGTTCTGATTGAGAGTCTTAATTTCATGTCAGCTCATCATACACCTCTTATTATCTTGCACCAGAAAGGAGTTATTTCATAGAAAAATTACTGCTTTCTCTGATTTATCTTGGAGCAAAGGCAGAGTGTCAGGGGGAAGCTGGCTGGACCAGGGCAGCATGTCTCCAGGAAAATAGGGTATGGTAGATAACAGGAAAAAAAGCAGAAAGTGCAAAGAGAGAACAGTGATACATACAGAGTGACTAAAGAGACTCAAAGTCCTGCCTTTTAAAAAGTAAAAGTAAGGGGTTATGTTTTAAGACAGTAAAATCAGGAACAGAGACGAGCTAATTAATTGGAAATGGCTACTCACTCTTTATAAACATGATGCAGCACTCAAAGAAATTATAAAACTGTGAATTAAAGGAAACAAAAGGAAGCATTTTTATCTCTAATTAAATTGTAAAAAATCTTTATTATTGAGTGACATAGGAGCCAAATGTACTATTAACTTGATAAAGACATCAGGAAAATTTGTGCAGGTACACTGAGTATACCACCTCCAGCTCAGAGGATCCTGGAAGACAGGGAAATGCAAGGATCATGCTAATCATGCCCTATTTCTCACAAGCTTTGTCTAGACATCTACTTCTGGAAAAGGTTAAACAAAACTTCATCTGGAGCCAGGATATTCATTATTATTTAATCATAGCACATAAATTGCAAATTAATTCCCTGTACTGTAGTAGAACAATACTCCAGATTCAGAAATATGGGAATATATAAAGCTGAAGTTTTTGCCAGATGCTTTTGGTACGATATCAGATCTCACTTTCAAGCCCACATGACTGTGGGGAGTGGCACCTGCAGATCTGAGTCAAAGCATCACAATGAGATCAGGGAGTCCTCTAATAGGACAAACAACACTTGGATTTTTGGAAAACAGATTATTAGAGGATAGTAAAAAAATGTAATGTCTGTCCCAAAATGTTCTGCAATCACAGATTGCTGGAGTGTTCAAGACTGTTTTGACAAAACATCATTGAATTCTTGCTGTACTTTTTTACACATTATCTACTATTTTATCCTTCCACTCCTGCCTGAGCAGTCTCTGTTTTCCACCACCAGAAAGAGTATCCTGAATGATGAACATTTGGTCTGCCTTGCTGTGGTTGTTCTGGTGTTGTTATGATCCTGTAGGTATCACCCATAGCTATCAAAGCCTTTGAAATCTCAATTAATAACAAGGATGAGATATTGGATAAAGATACTGAGGCTGCAGAATTTTTTCCTGTCTCTAGTGTAGCCAAATGTTACCAGTTTCTTACTCACTTTCCCAACCAAGCCTCACTTCAGTGGTGTTGATGTGCCCTGCCTTACAAATATGCAGAGCACAAAGAAAGGTCAATGACAGATAAATAATCCACTGAAATTTACACTGCCCAAGGATCCACTCCCATTTGGCTCTCTTGAGTTCATATGGAAAAGGAAGAAGCTGTGACACAGCTTCTACAAGGAAAAGCAGCTCAGCTCTTGCGTAGACTTTAGCAAAGCAAATGTCTGTGTACACAGGCACTGGATGTGCAAGAATTTGCTTATCCTTTCAGCTTCCCTTGTTGAATGGTTCAGAATTCAGATTGTGTAAATTTGTGCTTTAGCATCAGCTGAAAATGAATGTATTTTATTTGGTTGATAATAATAACTATTGTCTCTGATATTAATAATTAAATAACTATTATCACTGATAACTATTATAACTGATATTAATTCATAGCTAACTGATATTCTTTGTTTTCCTTAATATGGCTTGGTTCCCAAACTAAAGCAATGGAGCAAATCACAAAGTTTCTCTTGCAGAAGAGGCAGTGCAAAAACAAATTGTTAATTACATATGTAATCATTCCTGGCTAGAGCTCTGTGAGTCAATTTTTGGAAACATAATTTGTGGTTCAACCAGAGTTTAATGCCCCCAAATACTGCATATCTCATCCTCAAGGCAGAGACAACTTACAAAGTTGATTTCTCTACTTAAGATCCAAGACATTCTTTTATGCAAACTTTCCTAACTGCTATTTTTGCAGCCTACAAAGCTGTCTTCTTCTCTCTTTCATTTTTTTAAACAGATATTTTTGCTTCTCCTGTCTAATCAAATCCTGTTTGTTGTTCTTGCAGATTGCAGCTCAGGCAGTGTTATTTATGTGTATGAACACTGCAGGAATCTTCATTAGCTACCTATCAGACAGAGCACAGCGCCAAGCCTTCCTGGAGACCAGGAGATGCGTGGAGGCCAGGCTGAGACTAGAGACAGAAAACCAGCGACAGGTAAAACATTCCTGGTTTTGTATTAACTGCTATGGATAGTTGGACAAGACCAGGCTTTTGTAGCCTTGCTAGCTCCAGTGTGATACCACCTGATTTGTGCAGGTTAAGTGAGTTTTATGCTGTTGCTGTGCTGGTGTGTATTGAGTTGTTGTGGCATCTGAAAGATTTCCCCTAGGAAACAGGATGAAAAGAATGGCTGCTCATCATCCTTTCCCACAGAAGAGGCCATCAAATGAAACAGCACCTGGCAGGTGTTTCAAAATGCTTCTTTACACAAGAGGGGTTAAGCTTCACATTTCAGAGTGCTGTAGACATTAAAATATGCATTACTGAAGTGAAAGATACTCCAGAACCATCTGGATGCAAACCTGTGCCATGTGCCCTGGTACGGCTCTTCCTGAGCAGGGAGGCTGGACCAGATGAAGCACTGTGGTCTCTTCCAATCTGACTGCTTCTGTGAGTCTTTCAGAACTAAGCAAGTTCATGGAACTGAAGTCTATCTAGGTAGAGAAAATACTAAAGCATCCCTTCAGGCTCATAGATGGATTTTTGCAGCTGCAGCAAAGTATCACTGTTCTGTTTATCTGTCCTTAAACTCTTGAAAAATCAACCTTTGACCACTGTGTGTAATAGCATACTGGATTAGGTGCACTTGTGATCTGAACAGGTATGGTTGATCTTAGGTAATCATCTCTTGTGATCCAAAATAAGTACTGAATAAAAAGATGTTTGCTGCTTATTATTTTGCACCAAGGGAGCAGCACCCATATCACATATGTTACATTGCTGTATCATTCTAAGATGAATTTAGCCTTTCATTTTGCCTTGCTGTATAAATATGTATATGGCTTCTCAAATTTATTTCATTTTCCCCTGAAAGTCATGCAGAGTTCTAGGAAGATGTCCTACTCTGGACTTTACTTACTCAGTACATATGGCTGTGTTGAGTAATGCCAGGTATCTCTGCCAGAACATCTCTGCAGCCATTGCTGACTGAAAAGACTTTGAGGGATATTATCTAGGATGCTCTGTTCTTTTTTTTTTAACTGCAGGATCATATTTTCATGTCTTTTGAGGATTTTGGGGTATTTGGGTTTTTTCCTTTTCCTTCTTGCCTTATTTTTCAGAAACCATGATTTTGTAAGCTTTGCTTTGACCATAGTTTTCTAGAGTTTGTTGTAAAAAAACTTTATACAACTAACAAAAGTTTCCTTGTTCTATATTATTCTGAGGTTTTCCCATTAGAATTATTTTATCCTCTCATGTAAAATGAAGGTAGTACAAAGAAAAATATTTTGAGAAATTCAGTTTTGCTTGTATTATCGAACTTGTATTATCGAATAGGTAATGAAAACAGATAGTTTCCATTTGGGCAGGCAGATTTTTAATTTTTTTTTTTTTTTTAGAGAGGACGGAAGTAGTGGTTGGATCAGAAATATTTGTTTTTATTAAGTCAGGTTGAACTGTGAATTTTGTCTTGGTCCTGTGCTTTGCAAGGTTTCAGGGCTGTGTTATTCCCTGAGGGCAAAACTTCCTGGAGTGTTACCTCACTGCAGCTGAGATTCACCTATAACCAAACAAAGCAGTGTGTCACAGGCATCATATGACTGGAAATGCATAAGGAGAACTGTCCTTGGGCCAAGGAAAAAGCCCACAGGAGAAAAATACAGACAAAAGGACAGCAAATGAAAGATCTCTTCTTACACTTAATTTATAATAAACTAGCTCAAATTTTTGAAATTATTTTATTATGTAAAGCCAAAACGTTTTGAAATATTTCTGATTAATTTTCTTGGAACTTTGTAATTTTGTTATTATGCACACCACTACATATGGAAATATTTAATAAACATTTCAACTTTTCATTTGTATTTGGAACAGCAACATTAAAAAAATATTCCAATACTGGAACATCTTGAGGAATGGAGACTGTTTCCCTCACCATTCTATTTTTTCCATTTGTTTCTGGGGTAGCATCTCATTTAAGCAATTTTTACACCTATCTGTTTTAAAAAGACTGACAAGGTCACATTTTAGGTGACCACTTTTTTAGCAGCTTGTTCACGCTCACTTAATGAGTACATAGGCAGTCATTCAGTGACTTCTAGCATTTTTCTATCTTGAGGAAAAATATTGCATGATAAATGGTATCTATAGTTCAGATTAATGTAAAAAAATCTTATTTCCTGTTAATAAAATTTAAAAAGTAAGGATTAAAGTTTACTAAATTAATTCCATTATTTTAATTTCCTATGGCGGGGCTGGGGGGGGGCGGGGAAGGTGGAAAAGAGTGTGCAGAATGATAGTTGTGATGTGGCTTCTCAAAATTTCTAGAAATATTGTTGATGAACAAATATTTGCAGGGAAAATAGAGGAATTATTATTTGTGTAATTCTTCCAGACAATAATTCCAGGAATTCCAAATTTATTCCACTTAATTTCATTTTCCCTTCACTTGCCATAAACTGTTTGAACTAAAGGGTACTTACAGCAAGGACAAGGTCTTTGTTGCTTTCAGTCGTGGTATTGCTACTTTTTATAGTAGTGGATGACTTAATTTAAATCTCTTGAGGCTTCTTTCATCACCACACATCTTCTGCTTGTTCAACTGAAAGTAATAGGAAATTAAAATTTATTGACATGTTGTATATATGGTATGTGACATGAAGTGTGACAGCTTGCCAAAAAGATCCTGTAAGGTCTGGTTTTTTTTTCCTTTACTTTATTTAAATCAGAATACCAGTAAAATTAAAGTAAGAACAAAACAATATAAGTTTTAAATTACAGCAAGGAGTGATGTGGTTGTCCATAAACAATTACACAACAAGGCTCCAATTTTATGTAATCATGGAAGTTATATAAATGATTCAGATATACTTCTATTCATTATTGTGTATTGTTAAAACCAAGAAATTAAGTTTCTGCTCTCCCAAAATGACCCTTCCAATTTCTCAATATCCCTTGGATTCATAATCTCTAATCTTCTGTCATTTTAACAATGATAAATGCTACTGCTCTCATTATGCAGTATTGTGCAATGCCTAAAAGAGCCAGTCATGGAAAGTCACCCAATTGTGAGACAAACATTTTATAATCTGTGTTTTGGAGAAAAGCAAGAGATGCCATTACAAATGTGGAGGTGTACAAGGAAACAATGATAATGACAAGGAAGGATCTCATTGTCAGAGGTTTTTAAGGATCCTCTAATGAGTATATGTAGATTTGCTGGAATACAAATTTTCTACTGTGCCAGCTTCTGCTGCTGGTGAAAAACAAGAGATTTTTCTGTATTTCCAGATACATTTCATGTATATAATTGTTTGGGGTTTTTTTTTCAGTGAAAGAAGCTTAATTTATTCACTTGCAACCATTACATAAGGAATGATGAAAATAAGAGGTGAAATCACCAAAATCCCATTAGGGATGAATAAACATTTTCGTTGTTTTTCATGTTACTCTAACCTGAAATTTGGATGTCATGTGTTTTCCAGATGCCATTATCTTCCAGCAGCGTCTCTCTTTGTGGGTTTTCAGGGTTCAAGAATTCCACGAGCTATTTTGGTTTTGCTGTGAAGTTTTCCAGTTAGAAAGTCAAGGCCATTGTGTTGTTCAGAAATGTCTGGGCCTATGGACTCTGTAAATCTGAATTAGCTCCATAGGCTCATTTTCCCCTGAAAATATCTTCAGGTGCAAGTTCAGCTTTTACACCAATTAAAATTCATTCAGTGACTGTACAGGAAGAAGGAGAATGCAGTGCAGACCTGGATGATGCAAAGGACTTTGTGGAGCCTGGATGATCCAGGTCACCATGACTCCAGTTTTGAAGTGACTCTGTTTCCAGTGTCTGTTTCCAAAAGTCTACATACAGTGAAGCTCCTACATCTTTGTTCATTCTGCCTCCCCCATCTCCATTTACTCTCCACAAGACTTGTAGACAAAATTTTCTGAAGTGTTTCAGAAAGTCAGGACTTTCAGTTGTATTTTCAGATCATCAAGGATGTGATTTTCTATTGTTATCCTTTTGTTTTTAAGCACCTGGGGTAGTTAAAAGTACATATTAGCATTTTCAATTGCAATGAATTTCCTAATTCTAATTACTCTATTATGAAAATGAGCAGCAGTGTGGCTACAAAGGAGAATTACTCCAGCAGTCATTGCTAATGATGTTTATGCACTTACCTGTATGGCTTTATCTGTGTGACCCCATTTGGAAATCCCAGCACCCTGTGGAACTGAGGGAACATCTGTGTCTACTTATTCCCCAGTTATCATAAAAAAAAAATTGAAATTTTTGTGAAAATCTAAAACATATCAGAGCTTTACATAAAGGAGTGGATAAGTACCTGAAAGACTTTATCATCAAAAGATTAAAATATCATAGAAACAAGCTGCAGGAGGTAGTACAGACAAATGTGTTGTAAAACCAGCCTCTGTTAAGCAGTTATTGATAAAATAATAAATTTAAATATTTTCTAATGAATTGTGGTTAGTGGCATGTTCTTAAGAGATGTATTTATATCAAGCAGCCAAATATGGCCACCAAAAATGTCCTCTTTGTTTTCAAAACATTGCAATTATGAATAAAAAACAAACATGAGTCTCTCAGTTTTCATAAATCCATTTTATTCCAACAATATCATAACTTGCTACCACCTGTTTGAAATTTTAATACTTTCATTTGATATCAAAAATGTTGACAACCAGTGCTATACTTTGTTAATGAACACTTCAAAGACACTGTCTTTGTTTTTAGTTTGATTTTGGTGTAAGGACACAGCAGGTAATTCTGCTTTCATCATATCTGGGCAATGAAAATAGATAGTCTAACTCACTTTCTTAATTAGCTACTGAAAACCCTTCAAAACCAATGAGTATGTAATTTCCCTCATTGTGAAAATGCTGTGAAATATCCTTAATGAAGAGCAGAAACCTGCATTAAATTTCTTTTTCATTTCTGTTTATGTGGATACAAAATCCCTAAGCTTTATATGAATGACATA